TGCTGCCTGCGTTCCTCTCCAAGGATGATAAGGCGCATGGATGCACTCGTCCCAGACCTCGTCCCAGAAATGTGATAATACTAACTTCATTTTCTCCAACGACCTATAATCTGATCTCCGTCTGCGTTTTTTCCCTCTCCCCCGTTTGTGTTTGTGCGCGTGTGTGTGTGGATTGTGTTCATCTTTAACCTGCCATCACTGTAGCCCCCCGCGTTGCGTTGGCGCTGCGGAATAGCCTACAAGAACAAGAGCCAGCTCACAGCCGTGGAAACAAGCGGATCAATTTAGGGAAGAGAAAAGGAGAGATAGACAGCGAGGTTTGGAAAACTGGCAATCTGAAGAAGGGACAAGTAGAGAGAAAACATCGACCATACGCCGCTGAAACATTAAGGTACGTGTGTTTATTGCTTGTACAGGTAGAAGGGACTGAAATGGACGGCGTAATTATTGCATATGTTACCTAATCTGCACGGATTCTGAAATCAGACACGAGTCGACTAAAACATTTGACAACGACGTGTAAAGGTTGCACAGATTGAAGTAAATAATTAATATCAGCAAAAGATACAGTCGGTGTCATATAGGCTACGAAAAAAAGACGTGGTTACAAATGAATTAGAATAACATGTTTTCTTATGTAAGCCTGTGTGTTTGGCATGTCTACACATATTTAAAAGAAGAAATATGATTGTTGGATTGTTTTTTGGGTGCAGTCATGTTGTCATTACCCTGAAGAGAGAATGGATGCAAGCCATTTTGTAATGCAGCATGTGCAGAATTAGGCCTATTCAGAATTTCAATTGCGTTCCCGAGAAGGTGCGCCGTAGTGAGTGCAGCTGCATAGATGAATAAGGCCATTCTGTTAGATTGTAGGAGATATTATGCTGGAGGCTATATGATGATGAGAGATTGCAGATTAGAGGTTGCGACTGCAGGAGAAATGGTCAGGCTGTGGGCTTTTTTTTTTCTTTTTTTCACGAGTTGATATCAGATAAATGGGGAAATAAAACTGTCATCATGAGTTAAAAGTTGAGAAAATATTTGGCATGAACCTGCAATCTTCCTCTCTTCAAAAACACCGTTTGTTACCATACTGATGAATTGCGTCTCATCCTTCCCTGATTCCCACGTCCTGAATCAATCTAGTGTTGTCATAGTTACAGCAGATGATGTTGGCCCTGCTGCACCTGTGTCGCTTTGTGTTCATCTCGACCATCTGTAAATACATGAGGTCTAATTGGGCCTTGTGTAGGAATACAGGAAGCATCCCACAGCCTTGGTGTTTATTAAACAACACCATATTTTTGCCTCTTCACAAACCTTAATGACTCTGTTGTAGAGAGCACGGCATTGATACAATCAGGCGCTTACGATGATGTGATTGGTTGTTAGCAATTGGTCAGCAGCTTGCAGCTAATTTGTCTTTTCACGACTGAGCGCTTTCTCAGGCCTGATCGAATAATCAATATCTACATGGTTGCAATCTGCTCTTGACATGGAAAAACGGCTAAGATCAAGAAAGAGAAATACCTTTTTTAGTGAAATCGGTTAGAAAAAAAACCACAATGGCCGAAAATTCAACCATGTCATAATCCAAGGGAAAAAACATTTTGCAGCAAGGATGAAGGATGAAGGCCGCTGGCAAAGGAATTGGCCCTCAGATGAGTCAAGGTGCAATAATCTAAAAATAAAGATCATCATCAGTGTGAGGAGCTGTTGTTTTTGTGGAGAACTTGAAGATGGGAGGTCAAGGCAACAGGCTGTCAGATTCAAGGTCTCTCCATCCATAAGATGTTTTTTTTTCCTGTGAGGTGTTTTACATTGATTGTTTTTCACTGACTCTCCCCAGTGGTTTTAACACGTAATTCAAAGGAAAGAGTGTAGCTCAATTCCTTCGATATAGTTTTTCTACTTTAGAAAAATACATAAAACAACTTATTGTTGACAACTACCAAAGGCTTTTGTCTAATGGGAAATTAATCTTTCTCCTAAGCCTATGGAGGTAACAAGTTTGTATTTTCATTTATATATTCTGCATTTATTGTTTTGCAGGGGCAGCTCAGAATGTCAAGTCATTACAAAGTTAGCTATGGTCTAATTTACATATGTTGTCCCTGCAGGTAGACGGCAAACAACCACAGAACAACAAATACACAAATACAACTACACAATACATAAAAGTGTGTGATAAGTAATATAATCTGTTATTTGCAATATCACTATATATTTTTGGGTGAATACAACTCATGTTGTTAATCTAAATACTTGAAAAACAAACTTCTCCATTACTTAAAAGGTTACATATAAAAAATTACGGCAGTGGCAGGATAAATTATAAAATGGCCATTTTGAATTGTTATTCACCGCCTTTTTAAAACAGCCCCATTCCAAAGGAAACAGAAATAAAAAGCACTAGTGTACATAATGATGCTCCAGTGTATGAAAACATTGTTTTGAAAGCACTGGTATGCTCAGTTATGCGACAAGGGAATGATGTTGTGTTTTGATGCTTCTGTGAATCATTTTCTGTTGAGCTAAACATTGTAACTATCAAACCACCATTCGAGATAACATACAATACTGAGGTCTGGGAGTTATGTTTTATTTTCAACTCAGTCAAATTGTTGAAATGCATAATTACCTGCTGGATGGGGATGAGAAGGAGACTCTTCAAGGGAGGACGCAATGAAAGGAAGGCCATAATGAGGAGTGCTGCAAATGGGCTGCATGCAATAATATTTAGGTTTTGCATTATATTCATAAATCTTCATTTTCTTATTCCTAATGGTTATTGTCTTGTTATTCCTCTGTGGCAGTTACAGTTAGAAGGGTTGAAGATAGATATGTGAATAATATTTGTGTGTTGAAGAGGAAGAGACTCTGTGGGATGTGAAAAAGGTCTATTTTTAGCATGCATTCCCTTATGAGCTTTCTTAATAGCTGCTTTAGGAGTTCTCAGAGCTATGTTTTTAATACAGACTGATGTTGACCTAATCCTCAGACCTTGTAGATATTAGGATTCATGCGGAACCACCTCCCTCTGTTGTGATATTGAAGGCCAAGGTTAAACACATCGCTAACATGGGTCTCCCGGCACTTATGTGAATGTATATTTTAGTAAGTATACAGTTTTTACTCCTCAAGATAAAGGTATCTTAGTAAAAGACGTACGTCTTGTGTAACAGCAAACGCTGTAAAGGGGCTGAACCTTAATCTTTAAGTCGAAAGATAAGTAGAATTAGATCACAAAGGTGCTGCTGATCAGTTTTCATGTTTATCAGGCTCTGCTAAACACAGTAATGTGGAATAGGGCACTGGACAGTAAAAACACAAGATGGTGAGTGAGCAGGTTGCCACAGCAACCGTGTTTCTAGGAGCGCATGCATCGTCGCTGCATAGGAGAGGAGATGCTAAGGACTGAGATGGAGCCTTTAAAAAATAACCTGTTTATTAGAGAGTAAACATATTAGGAAAATGCATCCGAGAGTTGTCGAAATGAAATTGTAATAATGGTAACAGCGGCCAAGTGAGTGACATTGATAGAGATCTCTTTATTTGTTTTCCAACGACAGCATAGGCTTGTGACTGCGAGAGTCATGGTGTCGAAAATAACGTGCCCGAGAAAACAATGAACACTTTCTTTCTGTTCTAATCCTTTAGTGAAACAGTGCAACCTTTTCTAAATGTAGTTAGTCTGCTGCTGATGCTTGCGGCCATTTCTGTGTGAAACCCTCTTAACAAAAGATACACAGATACACATTTCTGTGTTACAAAAGCCCTTGAAAGTGTTTTGCACCATATTTTTTTCCTTTGTTCGCGATGTAGTTGTCATCTTCTTGTCTGGTTCATTAACTTTGGTGGCTAGGGATCTTGTCTTATCGTGCATGCTTATTGTACACAGCACGTGCATTGCGGTAACATTTCAGGAGTCAATAATAATTTCTTCATCTTAATTGCTAAATTACTGCTGCTGCCTCATGATGGATTGCACGAATGTCTGCATTAACCTTAGGTCTAGATGAATACTGAAAGCAGTGGTAATTGCATTCAACAACTTGACATTCTTTTAAATGTGAGATTTCTATTGCTGTCTGTATAAATCGAAGGATACCAAGTAGACGATGTGACTGCGGTCCTAACCCAGCTTGTGGTTTTAGAGATTTGTGGCCATTTCAGACCATGACCCAGATGTTAAGTTCAACCTATGAAGAAAATGGCAGCTGACTCACCAGTTAGACTACAGGCCATAATTTGAGTGCCACCTCTTTACAAAAAAATCCTGACCCAGCTTGTCATACACTCTGGCGACTGGGCATTTTAATATTTCAAGATTTAAATTCAGATCCGGGAATACATGAATGTATGTGCTGCTAGGCTGATGTCTTAAAGCTACTCCTCTGTGCACTTACTCGACCTCTTTTCTCCTTCTCCTTTTTTCTCTTTCCCCTACAGTGAGAAGCAACAGCCTCCACAGAGACAACACTTTGAAGAGCATACCGTGCCCACAATTTGCTTTCTATTCTAGAAATTGTCATGGGAACAAAAGATACAGAATTCCCTAAAATGACTTGTTGAAAAGGAAAAGGTGTTTGATATTCTAAGAAGTATGAGCAAAGTAAAATAAGAATCTATTAATGATAAATAGTCTTAAATATATATCATAACACTTTTCCCTCTCCCTATTTTTAAAGTGATTGCTTGAAGGAGAGAAAAACAACAACAGAATAGCAGCTTAAGATATGAACATAAAGATAAGCACTTAAGGTCTCCTGTTTGGAGGTGACTTATCAACTTCATAGCAATAGGGGCGGGTCATGACTCAGTTGCCATGCGTGTTGTCATGGTGACCAGCCCCTGTTCCCCTTCCCCCCTCCTCTGGTTGGTCCAGATTCTGTTGTGGTTTCACAACCATGGACCCCAGCTGACAGAGGCAGGACCCGCCTGCCCCAACCCTTGTACGTGCTCCAATCAGGCGAGCCGTGTCATCTGTACCAGGAAGAGTTTAGAGCAAGTCCCGGAAAGTATTTCAGAGAACACAAGATACCTCAATCTACAAGAGAACACTATTCAGGTAAATACGGCTTCATCTACAAACACAGCATACATTCAGACTGGATACAAATATGTTGACAGATGTAATTCTAATGTTTTTTCAACATGCCTCCATGTTTTCACACCAGGTGATCAAGTCTGACACGTTTAAGCACCTGCGGCATCTGGAAATCCTCCAGCTTTCGAAGAACCACATCCGGCAGATTGAGGTGGGAGCTTTCAATGGCCTTCCCAACCTCAACACGCTGGAGCTTTTTGACAACCGTCTCACAGTGGTACCGTCACAAGCCTTTGAGTACCTCAGCAAGCTAAGGGAATTATGGCTACGGAACAACCCCATCGAGACACTGCCGGCCTTTGCCTTTCACCGTGTTCCCTCTTTACGCCGTCTCGATCTAGGGGAACTCAGGAAACTGGATTTCATCTCGGAGGCGGCCTTCGAAGGTCTGGTCAACTTGCGCTTCTTGAATCTTGGCATGTGCGGCTTGAAGGATATCCCTAACCTCACTCCACTAGTGCGACTGGAGGAGTTGGAGCTGTCAGGGAACCAGCTGGGGATAGTCAGGCCTGGATCCTTCCAGGGCCTGGTGTCACTTCGCAAGCTGTGGCTTATGCACTCCAGAGTGTCAGTCATTGAACGCAATGCCTTTGATGACCTCAAAAACTTGGAGGAGCTCAACCTCTCCCACAATTCCCTCCATTCCCTGCCCCATGACCTCTTCACCCCTTTGCACCAGTTGGAGAGGGTACATCTCAACCACAACCCTTGGGTGTGCAACTGCGATGTTCTGTGGCTCAGCTGGTGGCTGAAAGAGACTGTTCCCAGCAACACCACCTGTTGTGCTCGATGCCATGCACCCCCAGGTATAAAAGGCAAATACATTGGGGAACTAGACCAGAGCCACTTCACCTGCTATGCCCCAGTGATTGTCGAGCCACCCACTGATCTTAATGTCACAGAGGGCATGGCTGCTGAGCTGAAATGTCGTACAGGAACCTCGATGACCTCTGTGAATTGGTTCACTCCAAATGGCACCCTGATGACCCACGGATCGTACCGAGTGAGGATCTCAGTGCTTCATGACGGAACACTGAACTTCACCAACGTGACCGTGCAAGACACGGGGCAGTACACTTGCATGGTGACCAACTCCGCCGGAAACACCACTGCAACCGCTGTGCTCAACGTGTCTGCTTCAGACCCCAGCAACGCCTACAGCTATTTCACCACTGTCACCGTGGAAACAGTAGATACAGTGAGAGATCGAGAGGAGAACTCGGCAAGACAGGATGTTAATATGACCTTCATAGAATTTCCTAATCCTACGGGCCGAAGAGGGGTGTTAGAGGGCCGACCAGGAATCACTATACCGCCTTCTCTCTCCTCTCTTTCCTCACTGTCCCCACGAGCCAACAAAGGTCCTGATAATACTGTGACTGTGTCAATAATGGATGTAACTAATATTCCAGGCTTGGATGATGTAATGAAAACAACTAAGATCATCATTGGTTGTTTCGTCGCAATTACCTTTATGGCAGCTGTAATGTTGGTGGTCTTCTACAAACTCCGGAAGCAGCACCAGCTACACAAGCACCATGGCCCCGCAAGAGCCATAGAGATTGTCAATGTAGAAGATGAGATCGGAGCTGGGGCCGGGAGCGGCATCTCAGGGGGTTCAACGATGAATTCTGGCAGCGGAGAAGGAACCCTAAGGATACACCATCATCCTGAAATAGTCAACCTCCCCAACATTGGCCGTAGTGATACTCTCAACCATTACTACAAGACCCATCATTTCAACAACAACGTGATGGGTCTCAGCATTGGCTCCGACGGGATGGGACAAGGAATGATGATCAATAGCAAGAACCAGCAAATGCACGATATCCCCATCTCCTGTACCTCAGTCCCAATCTCTACCGCTAATATGCTCAGCTCATCAGGAAATGGCAACAACATGAACCCTTGTTCTATGTCTCCACCGCTGCCGATGTCTCTCCCCATGCCTACCATGGGCTTACATGGATCGATCAAGGGTTTCATGGGCCAACACCAGAATCCCCAAATGGAGCCTCTCCTCTTCAAGGGGAACTCAAAGGAAAATGTCCAAGAGACTCAGATCTAAAAACAAAAGCGAGAGTTTAGAGAGAGAGTGAGCAAGACTGGGAGACAGAGAGGGGATTGATGTTGGGTTTATTGCGCGGGATGATTAGACACTAGAGTGCATTGACATTACACCAGGAGAAAGGATAGACTGACACGGCAATACACCAACACATAGACTTACCCGTGACAGTCTACTGAGCCAAGGATTACCACAATGGGCCACTTGTGTTTGTGGTAACGATCATGGCCATGGAGATCAAGGAATGGACATTGCTACAATGTAAATCTGTGCCAAAGCAAATGTTTTTTGCAGTTTCTACAAGCTGTGTTCTCATATAGGGAAAACTAGCCTTTCAGAGAAATAACTCCCAAAACCATTGATGGCCAGCAGAGATGAAAGACATTCACAGCCCTTGCCACACTGAAGATCGGAGATATTACAGAACAAAATCCAAGAGACATTTTTCTTCCACATTTAACACAAACCACACTCTCTCTCAAGTGACTCAACAGACTCCCTCAAGGTGACAATTATGTAGGCATAAATAGATGGACAAAAAGGTACAGTGCAGTACAAACTACTGTGAAAAATCCACAAATTATATAAATATATTTTCATTTAAATATGTATCATTGCAGACTCCGATGCAGAGATATTTTGGGGTGGATGTATAAGCTGGTATAGTTTGTTTCTTTGTGGATAATCAGGGGCGGTGATAGCGAAGGTTGGTTATGATACATGTGTTAAGTTTGGCTACTTCTCAGAAACATAAGGGCTCAATTGCAACACTCATTGTGAATCTTTGAATTGGCTTTGTGACATAAAGTCAATTTAGGTTGTAGAACAGTAATTGCAGATCTCTGTTTGACAAACTTTTTCTGTTGCTTCAGTAATAATCATTACAAACTTTTGTGTTCTGAGAGTGTATTATGTATTTTGTAAAAGCCAGCTACTTGGTATTTGAATTGAACATTCTGATACTGAAATGCCAGCATCAAATAATGGTTAAAATAATGTTCCATAAAACACACAGAAAGGTATTTGCGAAGATCTGTTGGGTAAAATAAAGTGTTGACAATGTGTTATTTGAACCAGATCAGTAGCCAGATATTTGCTTTTAGACAGGAATTTGATATGACCTCCTTGCTCATGGTTACCATAATCATGCCATAAAATGCTGTCATAAGATTAGGATGATGATTAGACATCTATCTGCAGCAGCATTCAAGAAGGGATTAAACATCCATCTTATGATGATTGGAATGAATGGAAATGTACAGTATATTAATAATAATAATGTCTGGTTGTATGACAATTGTAAGATCCACATTTTTACAGTGTAACTTTCATATGTTAAATGCCATTTACGCTTCTTGCGTTTCAACTATGTATTTCTTTATTTTTGTTAGTTTGATATAATGTGTACAGTTGTCTAGCCATGTATCATTACGTGTGAAATAAATCAATCATATATTGGGTCGTGGCGAGTCAATATGGCAACCACACGATGAGGAGTGAGACATTATGCAGGCCTATGTGCTAAACCTGGATTGAATGTATGGTTTGTGGTTTAGCCATGAGTCATCCTGGTAATAATAGGTGCCATCTGCACTATTAACACGTTCAGACAGGCTTTTAGTCACTCGCCTATAGACATTACTGGTTTTTCAAAATGAGTGTCTTTAACAGAATTATATGATGACTTATTCTTAATGTAGGCTCTTTTGTCTGAAATTAGATCTCGGTATTTATTCTCCCATGGTGAGTCTTTCATGTTAGTTTGTAAATTGAAAGAACATTTAAGGAAAGAAGGCCATTAAATAGATCATTTTTGATATTTACTCAGCAGGAATCTAAAATGTTTGTTGCAATTGAGCACAAACTGGACAAGTAATTCCAGATTAATGTACCTGAGATAGTATTATGAGCAAAATCATATCAACAAGGTTTTCGACTGTAATCCAGCTCTGTGTGTGATCGTGCTGTTTTTTTTCTGTTGCACCCCTCCCTCAGACCTGCATATATTTATATATATAAATATAAACGGCGAGCTGTTTTATGTGAGTTATGATGGTATTTCTTATCAGCATTGAGCCCACACTTATTGGAGTAAATGGAACACTGAGGAACCATAATAATAGTGATAATAATAGTGATGATAATGTGACGGTATCAGAGAAAACACTCCCAGATTGCACAGAGGTTAATCCATGAAAGGAACATCTTCTGCATCAATGCACATCACGTTCACCCTGTTTATTGCCAAGCATTCAAGCCATCCTTAAAAAAAAAGTATAGTTATACCTACAATTATATAATGCAAACTTGTCTAAATTGCAGCCATGTATATTCTACGTTTTTTATTTGTGCTCGCGAATCTCATTTAAAAGCATAGTAAAAGTCACTGTGTTGCAACCCACAGACAGATCTTGTGGGCAGGGTTCAACTGTAGCCCCACTGAGACACAAATGGAATATAAATGAAGGCTAAAGACACAACATACGGGCCGCTCCCTTGATGTGCTACATTTGGTGGCTCTGCTGTCAGATTTCAAAGAGCATACCAGATACCTCCTTGTGTGCTTTGTGTGCGAGAGTGCTTTCCTGCAAGTTATACGGTAGAATTTTTTTTCTTACCTGACGCTTCTGTATCAGTGTTTTATTAAGATGGTGACTCACATTATGAGCACAGAAATGTTCCTTTCGTACCTCTGGACATTCGCAACCTGCACAATTATCATCATTATTATTAACATTTGGAGGAAATGCAGAATGGCTTTGTTTCATCTTAGTATAGTGGCTGCCATTGTACATACCGATGCGATTTAAAAGCAGGCTCATTCTACAGCAGGAATGTTAACACATGTTTGAGACACAAGCTTCAGACTGGATTCTGAATATGTGCATATTGGGCAACTGTACCTCACTGTATTTTGTAGGCCTGTATAGCGGTGATTTGATTCAGTTTGGCTACAGATGGCGTATTGGCATATGTGTATCCTCGGCTCCATTCTTTGCTTACAATGGATGCTTCAGGCCTGATGACATTTCTTGATTTGTTTGAAGCAAAGCTCCTTATTGAAAAGGATTATCATATCTGAGACACCAAATTGCAGGACAAGAAAATGGACTGACCTTTTGGTCCTTTAAAGGTAAGCTGTTCTGTTTGATAAACAATGTTAAAAAAAATGAATGAAAAATAACCTGGGTCTGTTTTAAAAGCTTTTTTAAAAGAGAGAAAGAACTATGTTAAGCTCTAGAAAAAAAAATTCGATTTCTTTAATACAGAATAACGAGAAAACGTATGTCATTTTGTGTTTGTTTGTTTTTTCCTCTTTCATTTTCCGAATTGTTGGTTGTATCTCCAGTATGTGGTATTATCAATTTGGGTATTGTCATTAAATGTAATTTTTTTCACGCATTCATCCAGGTGCAACTTGTGGCAGAAGAGTGTATTTCTTCTTTCAACATGTACTTCTCTTGCTCTTCAATGACTGTCATACAATGACTGAGAGGTATTTTGTTTCACCCTTTGCTACTTCTGTGAATTCAAATCTAGGCCCGCTGTAAGAAGCTATTCTGCTGTTAGAAACATGTGCCACCTTCATTCTTTGATGTGATTTGAAATTATAACGCACCAGAACTAACTAAATGAGATATGAGTTAAAAAGTTTAACAAAATGATGTTTCAAATAAGTTATTGCGTGACATTTTATAAAACTAAATTGAAAAAAAGGTCCTTCAAATGACTCTGTTTACACTGTATTTATTAGTTCACTTTTTTCATTTTCATATTGATTAATCAAAACAACACGGTTGGACACAATGGCCTCGTGCCCATTTTATGTGCACAATTATATTGTAACAGCTGGTAAATGGTTTTATAATTTTCCATGCAAAGGTTATTGGATTAGAGCAAATGCAGCTAAGTGCTAGCAGCTAACAAACGATTGAAATGCACAGATAAATGAATACATACAATTATGATAACCTGATCCGTAAATATCTGTTGTCGTAAAAAAAGAAAAGACACACATTTTAAAAATTGTATTATATTGCGGAAGGCTCGTATTTGATCTTGCTGAATATCTTATTAATTGACTAATTGATTATGAGGGCTGGCTGTAGAAGTACAGCCATTCAACACAACACTATTACATCCTGTAATCACTGCAGCATGGGAACTGCCTTAATAAATCATGCGGTCCATCATGTTACATTAGTGTAATTGTACATAAACCCGCACTGCCAATTTCAATTATTAGCATATGCTGGGAGTTTGCAAATCTGACAAATAAGTAAACACAAACAAATTAGATAATTTAAGTGAATAGTGAAACATTTCTCAAACAAGGCGAGTGTAAAAGCAATTCTCTGAATTTGGGTTATGTTGCTCACATCTCAATATGAAGTGCACTTCCTATTCTTTTATGAAGGCTATGAATGTGCAGAGCTTCATTAACACATCATTATCACTAGTTCTTATCTTGAAAGGGTCGACTAAATTAAGCTTTGCCTCGCTGTGTTCTGTATTCTGTTCTGCAGTTTGTCTGCTTGTTCCAGATTTTATATTTTTAAATTTATTGTGGACCCCGAGGTTAGGGGGAACAGTATAGACTATCACAGATGTCCACTGCGCAGTACTAGTCCAACCCGAGTTATGAAACATCACCCTCAGGGCATTCATGTAACAACAAATGCATCAGCCACGAAGCATGACAGCAAATTTGAATGATATGTTTAGATAGAATGTTGGGCCTTACGGCAGAGATTGTATTTGCAGTGTCTTAGGGGGCACTAAGTAAAGTCATTTTCTTGAATGTAATTGTACTTGGCTTGCACACTGGTCTCCAGAGAGCTCAGTCCCCATGAGACTTCATTTTTTTTACATGCCTTTATGCTGAAATAGCAATAGAGAATACAGCTGCACTATATAACGGTTACATTGTAGTATTTTTCTCAAGACTGTAACACAAAGCAGAGGATTGATATGAAACCAAATGCTCTGTAACACCTTGGGGGGACTCATTTTAGAGCCGATTATTAATATCTGTCTTTTGCAGCTTTTTTGCTGTTTCTCAGCTTGTGGTCATAGTGAGCAAACATATACTCTTTTTTACTGCATGTTTGCACGAGGTAATATGAAGAGGGGGGTGTGAAGTGAGCAAAGAGTGTGTCTGCAGCAGAAAGAATACATTAATATGCATTGAAGATGAAAGAGAAATGCTGAAATGCAAATAGGTTTAGAGCATTATGTGATAGGGATGAATGTTATGTGATGGAGAAGGGTAGTTTTCAATTGAAAAAATAAATAAATGGAAAAATTCCCCTGCAGCATAAAGCAAACCTATTCACACGAGGTGCATTTATCTACACCAACTCCCTGCTGTAATTCCTTGTGTATTAAAAAGAACAGAGGAAACCCGGATTTCTGTTTGTAAAATGCAACAATGCATCTGCCAATCCCTTTGCTCGCTTATGGTGCAGTCATTTTCTAGAAATCCACTTTGCCAGCACTATCCTCTCCTTTTCCCTATGCTGTCTTTTTCCTTCAAATTCAATAACCTCCCAGCTGTGTGTTTCTCCAGGGATTCCCCAGCTCCCCTGGCCCACAGACAGACTGCAGAGTCTGTAGGGAACCTGACACAACATAAACTCCACTGTGAAGCAGAGGTGTCAGAGTCTGTGGGCTGCATCTCTGCTGATCGAGAAGCCATGGAAATGTGACAGCCTTTTATTTCTTCACACTCAAAAGGCTGCAGCAAAAAAACACATGTGTCTAAAACGAGCGTAGTGTGTTAAATTCAACCGCGTGGGCTACAGTCATATAAAAAACAAAAATGATGTGGCCTATTTAGGCATTTTTTATATAAGGATGGACTACACATAAGTATTAGCTTAGCTTAGTCTGAGAAGTATTATGGAAAGTGTGAGAAAAAGACGACCCAGTTGGACCTACTTTGTGTAGATGGATAAAAGGGAAATGAGAATCCTTTTGATTTAAAGTATGCTCTTTGTTTAAAGATTCAGTCTTTGACTGTTATTACACGAAACTATGTTGGTGAATTATTAGCTTTCTTCTGATGTTCTCGGAGGGCTTTCTCATACTGTACTGAACATGTTTTGCTTTTGTTTCAGTCTATTTTTAGATTCCTTCTCTTCTCCCAGTTTCATTCAGAGGCATGCAGCAGATCCTTGGGGATATTGTTTTCTTGCTCACCCAAAGATCTCAATTAATAATCCTGAGAGAGAGAGGACTCACAAACGGAAAGCTTTATCGGTGTTGGCGTGTGTTTACTTTGCAAGCACTCAGGAGCCCTTGTAACCTCAGACAGTTCTTCACCTCTTCTGAGGATAAAACACTCAACCTGACCAACAAGACATGTCACCCGGAAAAAAATCTATGTTTGCTTCTCTTCCCACTAAACGCTGCTGAAGTGGACGTGGGATGGAGCTGCATTTGTATAGGCATAGACAGAATTGTCTTATGTCTACAGTGGCACCATACTCAATCGTTTGTATTTACTGTATGTCTATGTTAATAATACACAGGGAAATACACGTCTCCCCTTAACTTACACATGTTAAAAATGCAGCACATTTTGGTAATGTTGGTCTGAATTTTTACACACTAATTAACAAAAATATCTAGTGATGTGGAAACACTGTACAATTAACTACTTTCTAATGCGCCCTAATCTAATTACAAATTACAAGAGAGGACAAAAAAACAAAGCATTTAGAGCATGAATATCTCACGGAAAATATTGCTTGTTTCACTGTAGGCCCAAAGTACAAGATGATATTTAAAGGAATTACTTTCCCATGAATATTTTGTCTCCAGCATACATTATAAACAGTAACTTTGGGTGTAATTACTAGACGAAGGTATTGTATGCAGCAAATTGTTCCCCAGTGCATGCACTCCCACACACAAACACACTTTTCAGTCACTGAGCTGATGTTCTTATTAGATTATTACACTTACTTGAGTATTGATTTACCATAACTGCAGATAGGGTAATGTTTATTCCGTGGTTGGTTAATGTTGTGTGTGTGGTAATGGGGTTTTACTTTTTATTGCACTCTGAATTATATAGTGACTTTTACTTACCCTGTTGATGCTTCAGTAATATTCATATTGTCAGCTCGGGCACTAATTGTTAAATGAATTGTCATTTGGGAAGTTATTTGCTTTCTTGCTGAGAGTTAGATGTGATCATTGAACACATTTATGGAAATGAAGCTACAGCCAGCAGCAGATGAGCTTAGCTAAAGACTGACATTTAATTCACCAGCACCACCTCATCAAAAATATGTATCTCATTTGTGTCAGCTTTACAAAGACAAAGTGTAATGTCACATTGTCTCAACCTCACGGTGATGACAAGACAACCAGACTACCCATTGTGTAACAGGTTAAAAACACAGTTACATAAATTCATTAAAAATAAACAAAATGCTGGAGTGCAGCAGGTGAGAACAGAAATATGTTGCTGTTTTTTTGGGAGGAATCCGAAATGAGTGATTGTGCAATAGGCTATTTTTAACATTGAAATCAGCTAATGCACTGATTGCGGAAAGGTGCTTGCCAGCCCGGCATTGAGTGCATCCAGTGAAAGAGATTTTTCCTCGTCTAGATGTGTGATTCAAGAAAGCAGAATGAGCATAAAAGCAGAGAGTATTTTAAAGTGTAGCCTGTGGGTTTTTCGAGGGTCAGGTCTGCGGATTTTACTTGGTGATAAATGTGGGTAACAATTGTTGGTTTGCAAAACTGGTGCCTTGAAGGACTCAGTTACGACACAAAACTCCCCTTTTAAAAAAACAACAACTCACTGCTGTTTTTACATTTGAGTTTTGGTGCATTACGGAGGTTAGTTGTTGAGCTTTAGAAGTGTTGGTATGTGATCATTACATTACATTACAGTACAGTACATGTCACTTTTTAGACGCTTTTATCCAAAGCGACTGACATACTCAATACTGTGGGCAATCCCCACAGGAGCAATTTGGGGTGAAGTGTCTTGTCCAGGGACACAACGACATGCTGACTGCAGTGGGACTCAAACTTGCTATCCCCTGATTCGAAGTTCAGCGCATTAACCTACTGCGCCACATGCCTCCTCATTGTTTACTTCAGAACAGAGTCACTATTTCTAACTGTTTCCAGGTTTAATGCTAAGCTAAGCTAACCGGCTGCTGGTCTACACATTTACTGACAGACAAGAGATTCGATTAATTCTTCTCACGAAACAACCAAAATCTGCTAAATGCTTTTTAAAGACTAGATGAGTGCTGAATTCACAAGTTGATGCTTATAAAAAAGCAAAAGGTGGATTTATTTTTTGCTGTCACTTCAACTCTTTATACCTTACAGCCAGGAAAGGCTTCACAATGCACTTATTACAGTATATGTGACAACATTTCTAAAAACTGCCCTGTCACTGTCTGTGAACATTGTTTCGGCTTTGCTCTACGTGACCAGTGCATTAAGTAATTAAAGGACATTGATGAAGACAAAGGAAAGTCATGGACATTCCTGGCAATGACATATGGAAGTAGAAACTACTCATCCTCTTATTTCTCATATCCCCTTCCTCCCATCTTGCTTATATTCTCCTTTTGTCCTAAAGAAGGACATTTCTGTCTCATGGGGGATAACAGTATTGACGTCAAGAGATGAGTTATTGATTGGCGGAGGAGAGGACAGCGAGACAGTTGACCTGCAGCAGATAACACTTCAAGTACCGGGGAGCTTATGCATTCATATGTGTACATGTGGCTTCATGTATGAAGGAATAATAATTTCAGTCTGGGTGTGATATGTATCTAGTGAGTTTTGTACAACATGTCAAACCAGACAAACACGTTTAGCGAGGAGAGAGGAGGATGTGGGTGTTAGATTCCTCTGGAGGCCTCTTTGCTACTCGCTACATATCTTAACATGTTGGGAAATTGATGCAACACTTCTTTGTACAAACGCTCTGTGTTATATACGTGAAGATAATGAGATTGCGATCTGTCCTGATTGAACGGGATGATGACATCGATATGAAATAGCTCTTCCCATGGCTTCGGTTCGTATTCCACATAGATACATCTCCTTGTCTGGTGGGTCATTTGACCTGCATGGGTTAGCGCTGATTGAATCATTGGAAGATAAGCTCACAGCTCAACACCAGTCGGTTTCCCCTTCAGTCCCAAACCATGCACGAGAAATTAAATGCAAGCTCTGCAGTGTTGGTCAATGTCACAGAGAAAATCAAAAAGAGCCAAACGGCTAATCGGACATGGGTCTTGTGTATCATTTTTGTGGGAGATGTCAATGACAAAATACAGAGCAGAAAGATTCCCACTGGCAATTATGCAAATGTTGATGTGACATGCGAGTCTGCGCCCAGCGTGATGCGACCAGAGGGGAATTCACCAACACTTGCTCTGTCGTCGCCACTGCTACAGTTAGCATTAGCATCGTTCACACATCCCCTCATCTCAGGCCTCTCTTCCACACCCCTCCCCCCTCTCCCTTCTTACCCCCATCACCCCACCACCACCACCACGTCTCCATCTCCTCCACCTCCTCCTCCCTGCGTTCTCTCTTTCCTGTTCTCGCTGCGGTGTTGCCATAGCAACGGAGAAATGTGGGAATACCTCCGTCCTTCAGAGCGCGGGAGAGAGAGAGATAGAACGAGAGAGGGTGAGGATGGGAGACAGACAGAGAGTAAAGGGGTAGACAGAAGAAGAAGAAGAGACAAGAGGCGAGGAGACGAGGGAAGGGAAGGAAGTGTGGAAAGGACTGTTAATTAAAAGACGGAGAGCGAGCGGCTGTGACTCACTGCCTGAATGGACACCATTGCCTGTCACTTAGCCCCCTGACTCCAAGCGTTTGTCCCCCTCCTCCACCGCTCGCTCACTCCCCTAAAAGCTACCCTCCCATTGATATTCAGTCTCTGTGATGAAGAAGACGCCACTGTTATCTGACTAGGGGGGTGGGGGGGGGTGGGTTTTGACTGAGATGGCACCGTGTCGCACAGCCATGGCGTAGCTTCACGCTGGGCCCTACGCACGCCATTTGTTTGACGATTCCATGTGTGCTGGATGTCTCCATTTGTAGTGAAGCTGCAGTTTCCATGACAACGCCCGGACTGAAATAGCACCCCCAGTTTCCTCCCTCTCCTCCGCGCACAATACACTCATAACTGTTCATTCCTTATCCTGGGCCTCTTTCTACCAGGGCCGAGATGTCCCATACTGCTCAGCTCCATTCATCATATGGATTGAAGCACATGAAACCCCCCCCCCCAACAGTCCCCATCATCGCTTTCACACACACACAGGCACACACATATGCGCGCACACACACGCATCACTTCTCCTCCCACCTCTTATCTCTCATTTTCAGTCTCTCGGTCGCCCTGCAACAGATTCTGTCAACATGCATACACCTCTGTGTTGCCATGACAACGGTCTTGAAAATCACTGCAATTATTTCAACAAAGACAAAAACACTACAGCCACTTGGGGTAGAGGGAGGGAGAAAAAGGACAGTGTGTGTATGTGTGTGTGTGTGTGTGTGTGTGTGTGTGTGTGTGTGTGTGTGTGTGTGTGTGTGTGTTTGTGTCATAGAGAAAGATTCAGAGTTGTGAGTCTGTGCTTGCGTGTTTAGTGACCCTTCGATGAACTGGTGTGTATCAAGAGTAGCTCAATGTGCATACAGTGTGATGTTGTGTGTGTGTGTGTGTGTGTGTGTGTGTGTGTGTGTGTGTGTGTGTGTGTGTGTGTGTGTGTGTGTGTGTGTGTGTGTGTGTGTGTGTGTGTGTGTGTGTGCGTGCGTGCGTGCGTGATTAAAATAGCCCAATTGCTTTTACAATAAATAAACATTGAATGTGTTTAATTGAATAGGAAAGGGGTTTAACGTTAGTGGCAGGTTGTGCGTGAGAGAGAATAAATAAGACAGCCCAATATTTTAAAAAAAAGTTATTCTTTTCCCCCGCATATTTAGCATATTTCGCAACTTTCCGTCATATTTCCTAACTTCCCGCCAATTTCTACCGCATAAAATCACATAAAAACCCCGCATGTTTAATCGCATAATCAAGGATTTTTGCTCACGTTTTTCTGGAGGGTCTAAAATATGTTCATAAGAGACTGTAGGAGCTAATGATAAATAAAGATTACCTCCCACAGAACTGTTGGCAGACCAAGAGGGAATGGTGGCACGTCTCTGATAAAACAAGATGTACCCAGTCTGCTTGCAAACATCATCTTCAGATATGGGCTGAACGTCGCTGTCGTCAAAGCAGTACCACTGTCCATCTATGGAGTTCTTACAGTGAGCTGAAAGACACAAAAAACATTTTGATAAGCTTTTAGGAAAATAAAATCAGTTTAAAGAGGAGACACCTATTTTAACCCTAGCTCGAAATACTCTCAACAGCCTGTTGAAGTCTAACTTTTCAATGTTTTTTGGAAAGAAATGATATATAAATCAGACCATGAGTTTTTTTTTGAGAGCACAAATTCCCTAACTCTCCAAATTGACCAATGCATGAAAAAACCACAGGTTATTGGTGGTTATTGTTGCTTGGTTACCTGTGTAGTGTCCTCCCTGCATGGTCCCATGATGGTTACACACTGCGTACAGGTCGTACAGGTAGTCCTCCGGGTCACGGCCCATCCCATAAGGCCGTCTCCACGGTGACCAGTGGGAGGGGAGACTCCAGCTGCTCTGACTCCTCTTCACCATGTGAGGCGCCATGTCCATGCCCGTGAGCGGGAACTTCACCATGTTCTGCATCTTCATCCGCCGATCCCCATCCTGAACACGTGACACATTCGTGGAATTTAATCTGACAGCAAGATGTTCTATACGTTCCTAAACAGTAATATAAACCTGAGGGACCTGAGCATTTATACATGTCTACATGTGTACCTGTCTGAAGCGTTTGAGGTGTAGGATGAGGATGTCGGGCAGCGTCCACAGACTGAGCTTGATGCTGCCCTGCTGGAGCTGCTTACAGTGCGGACAGCGCCACGCATCATCAGGAGCCAGCTGAGATCAACGTGAGGGAAAAGAGTTACTAGAAAGTATTCAAACGTATTAAAAAACTGTTTTCTGTTCTTTACATTTCATTTGTACCTGTTTCTATGTTTAGTTTGTTATAATAAGGGTATGAAATGATTGCATTACGTGTACTTTTGATGAAACACTTTTTGACATGTTGAGTACATTCTCATACTTATTGTGCAAAGTAAACAATTTACAACCCTCTTGGTTTAGCTGGAAAATCCACCGTGACTTTTTAGAGTTACATGATCTTACAGAAAATAATGTATTGGTTTTAAATTAAAAAAATACCCAACAGGGAACATATTACTGCATGATGAGTTATTTATGTTTTTATACTTTTAAGTACTTCTGCTGAAATATATACTTTTACTTTGGTAAGGTTTTGGATGCAGGGTTTTCACTGCATCTCCCGTACTGTAGTTTTACTAGATGGATGGAAATATAATCCCTTAACACATTCCTTACTCAACAGCATGACACTTCCTTAATCCTAATGCTTCAGTGACATTCTCAGCAGTACATTAAACAGCGTCTGGGCCTACCTGCTCCTCTTTGGTGTAGAGTTGAAAGCACTGGGCCAGTGAGCAGGTCTGCGGCTGCAGGTGCTGCTCCTTTGACTGACGCACACTCTCAGCGTCTGGGATGTATTCATCCTCAGTTCTTTTGAACAGGCTGCGGGGGCACACGTCACAGAGGGGTCACTCAGACACTTCAAAAGACATTTACATCATATATTTGTGCTCTGAAAGAAGACGTCACAAATCTGCCCTGAGCGTACCAAAGCGTGTTCGATTGAGGCTTCAGATGTCACTTACTAGTCTTTCGTCTCCTTGTCCCATTCCACGACAATTTTGACATGAGGGGGCCCTCCAGGACCGCAGGACTTAAATGCCCTGTTAGGAATAAAATGAAGATAATAACTTATTGAATTTGCTGATGATACTGATATGAGTAGTAAGAGTAACGTCTGTACTGAATTTAAGAAAGAAAGAGGGTCTATTTTCCTTTTTTTGTGTTAATATTCGTTTGGCAGCAGAGAAGCAAATGTCATTCTTTTCTCATTTTCAAAATCCATTCTACAGAGGTTGTCACATTGTCAGAGCAAAATCTATAAACTAGGACTATTTTAGATCTCAGGAGAATATTTAAACATCAATACCACTGAAGAGTCTGCCTACATACTGTGGAGCACTTCAATCAACTATGAGTGGATTGGACTTACTGCAGGGTTTATATAATGACCATTTAAGTACAAACACTCCCCCCTGGTGGCAATAAGTGACATTACCTCTCAACTGAGGGGTGGCAGAGCGGCTGCTCCTCCTGAGGCAAGAGGTATGTGATCCCCACCACTCCCACCACACGCAGAGTGAAGGGCCCGACCTGCAGAGCAGTGGAGAACAGACATTAAAGACACAAACGTACACTTTTTTCCAACAGGTTGTCAGGAGTCTGTCCCCCCCCCACACACACACACACACACACACACACACACACACACACACACACACACACACACACACACACACACAGACACGTAAACGTCATGGCAAGGAAAAATTACTTGCTTAGATGCTGTTCAAACAGGAGAAAAATACATGTGTGTATGTTCGCGT